ACCATATATGCTGTCTACCCTCGGGCCTCCTAACTGAGAGAGAGTTTAGAGAAGTTCCTTTCAGAGTGGAAAATAAATAATGTGTATCAGTGTATCATTTACATACTCTCAATATCCACCCTGCATATGCCGAGGGGGGAGCAAATCGATATAAGAAGAAGGATATTCTTAAGACAATCAGCCAAGGTAGAATCTGTAGACTGACCCAGCTGACACCCCTCTGCCTTTCCTCTTAACTGTTTAATTCATTAATAGCTTATAAGAGCACCTACATGCACCAAGCCAAAAACACTTTAAAAGCTAAAATGAAAAATTGGGGGCATATTAGGGTAGTATTTCTCAACTTCACGTCCACATTTTCTACACTCTGTGAATGCAGACTAAGACAAGCCCGCAAAGCGTGTTTCTTCTTTGCCCGCTGGCTCTGTCGGTCTCTACCAATAGGAGGCAGCGGAGCAGTCAGGAGTGCACTCAGGAGGAAGGAGCAGGCCCGTGCTTTTCCTGCTTCCTGGCTGCATCTGCTTTTGCTCCCAGTTCCTCTTTATGCTTCCTAGTCTATTAGTTTCACCACAGCAACGCCTCCTCAGTCCCATGTGAAAGTTTGTCCAGAAGCGGCAATTCATTCTAGCTTGCAGTTTTCCCAATACGCACACAACCAGATCCGATACACACTCGCAGGGACACCTCCTCCTCCAAGGTCTGATTGCCAGGCTCGTGGGGACCAATCTCCAATCTCAGAGACACCAGTACTAAGGGAGTATCATCTCATTCTCATACAACCAAGTTCCAGCTTTCTGGCCTCCTTCCTAAAAGCATCTAAGTTTCCATAATTCCTATTTCTTCTCCTTGTCCTCATAGCCCTGGGGGCAGAGCTGTTCCAGCAGTTTCTCTTGCTGTAATATCTTAGCGTTTCTTTTTTACCCTTTAACATCTTCAATACCTAGTTAACAATTCTTTATAGTAAATTATCTCTGTGTTATAATAACTAATATGGTTGTGTTTCTTGACCAGACCTTGCCTAATATACCAAGTAATTAAAATTTTGTTCTCTCAAATTCTCGTATTCCCTACATCCACCTTACTTTATTTCTCCTCATAGTAATGATCTCTAATTGACAAACTGAATTTTCCTTCTTAGCGTTATTTTTCTTAAGTCTCCCAATACTAGAATGCAAGTTTCAGAGAGGCAGAAACTTTTATATGCTATGCTTACCACTGTGTCCACAGTGACTGGAACACTGACAAATAGTAAATAAATAATAAATACGTGATGTATAAATAAGTAAATGTGTATATTACAAAAATTAATCACTTTAGAAAAATGTGAAGAAATAAGTAGAAAATATCTTTAATCTCCCGCTCAGAAATATGCATGATTAACCTTTAGAAAGCATCTCTCTTAGCCATCTATGGATATTAACAATTGATTAAAAAAATAATTTAGATAGGAAACATTTAGGAAAGTGAAATAAAACTATTATATACTTTTTATAAAATATTAAATTCATTTTAATTTAGCTGACGAAAAACAAACTGAAGAAAAATCATGGAATAACTGAACATGAGACAAGTGTTTACTATGTTGAAAATTAGTTCTTAAAAAAGAGGTTGAAAACTAGGAGGCAGATTGCTTGAAGAATTTGTTCTACTGGCCTTTTTGTGTGTATAGTGTTATAAATTATTAAAAATGTCTTTATAATAAGCGTATGGATTTCAGTTCCTCACAATTCCACCTACTCCCAGTTACCTTAAATCCAATTATTTCATTTCTTTATTATGTGCCTGGCATCTGGTAGCATTTGAGTTTATGACCCCTGTTTAAAGATCTCTATAAAATTAAGGGAAAATGGTTTCATGAACACTTGAAGTAGTTGAACCTTTATCATTTGACAAATGTCTCAGGAGCAGAATTGAAAATATATTGTTCTTTAAGAAATTAAAACCATAAAAGCTGTCTATAATACTATCAATCCAACAAAATACAGCTGGTTTGCTTCATGACCCAGAAAAATGATTCATTTCCTCAAATATCCTTAGCATAAATGAGCTTTTATTTTGGGTTGCAATATAAAAGTACAATTTATTTAAGAAAACTTTATTTTAAATTACTTCCCACCATGTCAATGTGCTTAGTATGATTATTTATACAAATCTGTTCTTTAGGTCTGTTCAATGGTTGACTGAATTTGAACTGTATGTCAGTCCCTGTACTGGGAACAGGCAATACAAAGTAGACTATGAATATGTCTTGGTCCTCAAAAAATTTACTGAAATTTACATTTTGAGATCTTTTATATTTAAAAAGAAAACTGCCATAAAATAAACATAAAGTTTGCAACTCCTTTGACAAGGTCATATTATAATTCCTCCCTTGAATATAGAGTGAGCAGAATAAACAATCCTGGATTATTTTTTCCCCCAATAAAAACTCACAACAAGTTCTCTTTGGCAAGTAACTTGTTTGCTATCCATCTAACTATCCATCCGTCCCTCCCTCACTCCCTCCATCCCTCTATATTTTCAGACAGAGAGCGAGAGAAGGTGAGATAGCATTACTGAGACCATTTAACTGGGGAGAGCTCTATTTATCAAGTCACTAAATACATTAAAATAATGTTCAAATTGGATATCAAGATGAATCTTCAATTTGCAATTCAGGAAAAATTGAAAGGAAAAAGGAGATGGGGTGCCCAGACATCTTTTCATCCCTTCTGCCAGTCACTAGTACATGCCTGGAGAGGACGGTATTTGGTTGTAAGCAGTCTCTTTCTTGTGTTCTCTACAGATGAAGGAGTCTTTCATATACTAGCTCAGAGATTTCAGAAGAGGGCACAGTGTGGTGCTGGTAATATCTACCACTGTAGTAGACATAAAAGATAAGGGGAAAGTGAAACCTAATTTGAACAGGGTCTCTTGATTTTATTTGTTTGTAAATTTAAAAACAATTTCAAATTCAAGTGTGGTAACTCTGAGGTTATTATTCCTAAATTGGAAGGGCCTCAGACATCAGGACATTAACATTTTCTTTTTCATTTAGAAGCAGTCTGAAAATTTAAGGGCAAGAACGTGGAATTGATTTAACTACTAACCATTTGATGATACCTGGGAAAGGAAAAAAACTAATGGTTATAGAGTATCTATTCAATGCTGAGTACTCAGGTTCTTAGCGGTCATTTCGCTTCATTTACTGATTACAACTCTGTGAAGCATGTTATTCTACCTCAAATTTACAGCTGAAGAAACAAAATTTGAAGAGTTTAACTTATTTTCCCAAGGTACACATCACATAATAGAGTTAGGACTAAACTAAGGTCCGACTAGAAGCTCAGTCCATGAGTATTCCACTCTTGTTTGCCCAGCTGTCAAATTAGAAAAATATCTCTTAGGTTTTTTTCACCTTTGAAATCTTGATCCTTATTTAAATAATATCTCAATTAGGTATTAGTAAAATTCCTTATATCCTTTCCTTTTCTGAGAAGATTGATTTCTTTGTATCTTCAAGTATAAACCTTGAATTGGACTAGAAAATGACATATATGTCTTAAACATTTTCCCTTCGGTTCTGGGACACATTTTCACATTGTAATAAGCAAAGAAATGGGACAATAGCTCTAGCTTTAACGTAGTTTGGCTCTACAGTCTCCTTTAACCGAAGGATCCTATGCTATTAATGATCTAAACCTTCTCATAACTGCTTTGAGTGCTAGGCAACACAGGAAGGCTTCGATAGCTAGAGACATAACTCCATCATTTCTTCTTCATTTACTTTTTCTGCATTTCCACCCATGCATGTATGAGCCTGATTTTCCTACCTACTAAATATGCTGGAGGACTGTTAAGAAAGCTGTTGTCCTCTATCTCCTTCCTTCACTCTTTCTTGCTTCTCATTTTCCCTTAACCAACTTATTTGTGGTGTCAGACAGAGCTCACATAGAATTCATATCGGGAGTTCGTGGCAGCAGAAAATCTTAAGGAAAACACACACACATACACACTACAGTTTAGCTTGAGGGGATTTTTGTTTAGTAGGTTCCTTGTGTACCATTAAAAGGAAAATAACATGTTAAAACAAGCACACATTACAGATCTCAATCTGCCTCGACAGCAGCCATCTGCTAAGGTAAAATACACGCTGATGCTCCCAGCAGTGAAAGTCGTTACCTACTCTTGTGATGACGGAAGGGAAATCTAAATGCAGAAAGAAGCGTTGAGTGAGAAACAGCGAACATCCTTTGAACAGGTCAACAGTCATTTCTATTGCCTCCTGACCTAAGAATAGACATGTAATATGTTCTCTGCTCTTTAAGACACGACACTGGAAAGAGCTCTTCATGGATTTAGAATACAATGGCCATGATCTCCTTAGAAGACAAAAAAAAAAAATGTCCTAGATGTTCATATGTTCATTATGTGTCTCCTAACATGTTTATCTTCCTTGAATTGCTCCATAAGAACATGTTGGAGGAGAAGTTTAAAGTTCTTGCAAAGGTCCCCAATATCCCCTAGGAAAAAACCTATCACTATTTTGTCCATCTCATTCTTTGGATACTTTTGGCAGTGCCATACCTCTGTTAATACTTTTCTTCCTTGTTTCTGCAACAGTGGAAAATTCTGGTTCTCTTCTCATCACTCCTAACTTTCTTTTTGTGGGAATGCTTTTTTACCTCCTAGCTGATAAACGTAGGCATTACCCATTCTTTTTTGTATTGCCTTTTTCTCTCTAAATACTACCTTGGAAATATTTCAATCCCTATACTTACCCGTAAGAATGTAGATCCCAAATTTGTGGTATTATCCCTGGCTTACTTTCAGAACCAGCATTTCCAATCATAGATATTTCTATCTTATGATAGAACCAATATTCCATTGATTATCTAAATTTAATGACATCTCAGATGTTTCCTCATAAAGTCTCATGCATAATAATTCCAAAGGTGGTTTGAGCCCCAGAATTGTCTGAAATGGCTACGCAATGACGTCTACATTTCCACTCAACATACCTTGGTATTGGCCTTATCTTTAGGCTGGTAGTGAGAGAGCTTCAATAGTCCTTGGCACCACACCTGGGAATGGAATTGTTCAAAGTTAAAGTGATGAACTAGCTGTTCCTATGATTTTTATTAGAAACAAGTAGCTTTACTCAAAACCAGCTTTGACCCCAACCCACAAGTAGATTCCCTTCTCTTATTTCTAGCCATAACTGAGACTAATTGCCTTTTCTAATCCATTTATTAATAAGGGGTACTGAAAATCATGATTGACTTAGGCTGATGCTAAGGTTGAATGGATGTTGAGGAGGCAATAACAACAGCCACCACTATATTATCTCCTTTCTATCTCCACCTGCCAAAACTCCATTAATCCTTCAAAGTGCATGTTTTCTATGAAAATTTTCATGCTTACTACTGATAAAGCCCTCATATCTTTTTTTTCTTCACACTACCTATATAGCTCCTATTGTGTGTTGACTTGTAAATCAACATTTCCATGTCTTGGCAAACTTAACATTCCCTTTGCCCTATTAATTTGTAGGAGCCAACTTCACACTGAGAGGTAGACATGAAGTCCTCTGTATCCATGGGCTTCACCAGCCTCACTCCAGCTTGAGGCTGATTATACACTCTAATATCTCTTGTACGTCCCAACAAGGACTCTCACAGTCTTTGGTGCTGCCACTATCCGTACCTCTGTAATAGCTATGCTCTTGCTCTTTTCATTGTCTGATTGACTTCCACTAACTGAGCCATCACTCACAGGCAGGTCACAGTGTTTTCTTCTGCACAGTTCAGCTGACAGCCTAACCGTAAGAACAAACTCCAAATGATAATAAATCAACCGTTTTGAAATATAGAACTTAAATTGATAATATACAGATATCTAGACTTTATTGGGAATACACAGGGAAAATATCAATGCAGAGTATGTATGTAAAGAAACTGTAACATATTTTACAACCACAAAACATCAACAAATACTTACTTATTTCATGAACTATTCAGTCTATAATGGCAAAATGTGAGATAGACTATATGTATATTATCTGAGATCAGTTATATTTCTTGAGATAGTCCCAGCCTCTAGAGCCAGGTAACTCACATCTTGATAAGAAGGCATTTTATTCATTTTCACTTCTTAACATTTTTCTAAAAAAATTCGAGCTTTCCTAGATAAAGACTCATTTATTTGAAAATGAAAATTCATAAACTTATATGATTGTAGATACAGAGTTGTCTTATTTTATGATAGGAGAAAAAGCAGTATTTTCATGTGCCAATTACATGAAGTTCACATTACTATAACTTCCTTCTGAAAATCTCTGAGAAGCACACTCAGTTGCCATATGCAGATGAAAATTAATTGTCTGTCAGAATGTCAGCTTTATAGATATATATGCAAAGAAAAGAAGTTTTCCTATGTTTCAATCAAATCTTTTTGTTCTTTTCCTGGTAAGGCAAGTGTCGCTGGGAAGTTTTATCTGTTTAGAATTACAGAGATCTTTTTAACTTTGAATCTTTGTTGAGAAAAATGAGAAGACAAAGAACAATCCATCTCGGTCTGTTGTTTCACTGACATCTCTGAACACAATATCAACACAGCTGACCCTCTGACTACTTACAGCTTTTTTTGACATGAAATACATTCTTTATAGATGGAAGAAAATTAAATTAGCTTTAACTCTTGGAAGTCATAGTTTTAGTATTTAGGCTCCATTATCTTCTTTATGGAATTACTGACCTTTCTCTTTTACTACATGAGAGAAGAAAACAAATGGGATTTGAACATGGGACATTTGAGCAAAATAAACAGTTAAAAATCACGTGCTCCTCTTTAAGAAACAGGAAACACAAAGAAGTCATTTGTTAGAAAATATGAATGATTTATATATGAAGACACAAAAATAAAATAAAAAAATAAATTGTTCAGATAAATGATCTGAAGCCTGATGAAATGGCTGATGGTCAATACCACAGTAATTAATTGATTATTTTGTTCTGTAAAAACAGGTGAAGCCTGGCAAGACACCATGAGCAAGGAATGATAACCTAAATATTTCAATCATGGGCAAACTATAGAATTAAAAGTTATACAATGATTTCAGGAAATAACCAAATCAACACAAACCAAAATGAACCAAACGAAAACAAAAAGACAAATTAAAAAAACCATAAAGAAACATGTAACAAAAGATTTGACTATTGTAAATAATGCTGCAATAGACATGAGAGTGCGGATATCTTTTCTACTTCCTTTTCATTTCCTTTGGATATATGTTCACAAGTGATATTGCTGGATCAGCCAAGATAAACAAACACCTAAGTGTCTGTCAACAGATAAATGGATAAAAAAGATGTAGTATATATACGTGTACAATGGAATAGTATCCAGCCATGATATAGAAGGAAATCCTGCCATTTGTGACAACATGGATGGACTTGAGGGCATTATGCTAAATGAAGTAAATCAAATAGAGAAGGGCAACTTCTGTATGAAAGAGCTGAATTCATAAGAGACAGAGAGTGGAGTGGTGGTTGTTAGGGGCTGGGCATGAAGGAATTGGGAAGATGTTAGTCATGGGGTACAAATTTCCGGTTAGAAGATGAAGAAGTTCTGGGGGTCTAATGCATGCCATTGTGATTATAGTTAACAGTATTTGGTTGTATACTTGAAAATTACTAAGAGAGTAGATCTTAAATGTTCTCACCACAAAAAAGAAATGATAATTAAGTGATGTGATGGAAGTGTTAGCTGACATTACCATGATAATCATATTGCAATATGTAAGTGTATTAAATCAACATGTTTTACACCTTAAACTTATACGTTGTTATATGTCAATTATATCTTAATAAAGGTAGGGAAAAGTTTTGAGAAGATTCTCAGAAGACTGAATGCTATATCTCCCTAGTATATGGGGTGAGTTAGAAGCTTTAGCCTGGAGCAGACAGCAGCCAAAGGGGAGCAGTGAGAGTCTGAAGAAAACTCTGTAGATCTTGTTCTTGTCTTTCTGCTATCCAGTGCTCTGTGACAATCATCGCCTTCTCTTACTGCGGTGGACCACTAGTGCTGATCTATGCACAGAAGAGGTGAGCAAAAGACATGCTAAGATAAAGTATTAAACAAAATAAGGACTGAAAAACAAACTACACCGGGACATTCAATCTTCACTGTCTCCTCCAAATCGGCTAGATTATAACATTATAGAGTGATGCCATCCTTTCTGCTATGATATAATAACACTAAATATATGCATATATGTATATGTATATACTATGTATATGCACATATACATAGCACTGTATATATGTGTGTGTGTATATATATGTAGTCACACTCACACACAAGCTTAAACAGAGATTTGATAATGGTGATATTGAAAAAATATATATAGGCAGTTATTCACATTAGTAACTAAAATAAACCTTAGCATTAGTAAAATACCTAGCATATTTTTATCAAGACATAAAGGAAGACAAATAACTAAGTCAGCCTTAAAAAGAGAATATAAAATGAAATTACGTGGTCAGATGGTAGCTGGCTTGCTCACCAGGTATCAAGATGGGCTACAAAGCCATAGACGTAACAATAGTGTTGAAAAGGAACAAGCACAGGAAAAAAGACACCAGAAAATAGTAAAAACTTTAGGAATAGACCTAGGTATGCATGAAGGTTTAATTAAAAAAAGAAATTGACCCTATAAATTAACAGGAAAGTGAGTTCTCTAGAAGAGAATATTGGGATATTGAATCATTACATAAAAAAATATATAAAACAGGATCTCATATGCAAATGTGGGCTCTACAACATAAACTGTATGTGAAAAGTACAGTTAACAGATTAATACAAAACAATATAGGAACTTATATCAATGACCAAAAATGAGGAGTGACTTTTTTCACATTTTCTATAACGAAGAATACTATGGACAAAATTAAGCAGGTTACAGAAAGAGAGAATATACTTGCAATGTGCAATGTCAACAAGAGAGACGTATTACTATCTATAATATGCAGGTGACTTATACAAATCAACAAGAACAGGACAGTAACCTCCATAGATAAATGAGCACAATGTGTAAACAAGTAGTTTACAAAGAAGGAATCTCCAAAACTAACAAAGAGATGATCAAATTCTTTAATAATGAGAGAAATACAAACTGAAAGAAAAATTAGCTGTAATTTTATACTCATTAGATTATTAAAACTTAGGAAATATATAAAACCAAGTATTGATGATGATGTAGAATATAAATGCTCACACACCCTACTGATGGCAACTACTCAGGAGGAGAAACTAACACTGCTTAGTTCATCAACTGAAGTATCTTAATACACTATCAACCAACAACACCACATTGGGGTACATAGCAGAAAGAAAACTGTACACTGTTCCATACGGGGAAGTGTGCAAGGATGTTGAGGGAACAGTGTTATTCACGGCAGGAGGGAGGTGGAGGCAAATAGAGTTAGCCATTCCTGGGAGTGTGTAGACTCATATCATGAAGAAGTATGAAGCAGTGAAGTACAACAAATATATGTAGTATAGCCAAGTAATTTAATCTATATTAAATTATAGATTAAAATAGAGAATGCAAAACTCAGGCTCGAAAGTAAGGTAAAATCGAGAGTATGATTATAGCACAAAATTCAGAGTATGAAATCCTTTTTATTTACTATTCGTGGAAGACATATTAGTCTACCAGTGTAAAGAAAAAAAATTCAACTATGCAATTCTGCATCCATACAATAGAAATCAAAGCAATTACTCTTGAGAATTGAGGGGCCAACCCAGTGGCATCACGATTAAGTTCACGCACTCCACTTCGGTGGCCCAGGGTTCACAGTTTCAGATCTTGGGTGTGGACCTAGCACCACTCACTAAGCCTCGCTGTGACAGCATTCCACACAGAAATAGAGGAAGATTGGCACATATGCTAGCTCAGCGGCAATCTTCCTCACACACATACACACAAAAACAAAACAGCAATTACTCCTGAGAATTGAGATTTATGCTAGAACTGAGGCAGAGAGCTATTTCATGTACTCATCCTTATAAGAAAAATATT